AATCTGACAAACTGCAATGATATGAGTTTATTTCCATTTTTGAAACTTTATTACACAATGCACTATAACAAGTTTACCATCATTTTTACAAAATCAACTAACACTGTTGTAAAGATGCAGGATATGTCAAACAAACACTTTTACGAATCTTATTAGTTAAATAATGAGACTGTTAACATGCCTAAGAATTGAATCTGAGGAAATGTTTAAAAACAGCATAACTTATAAAATAATGGCCCGATTATGCTGATTTTCGAACTTGACCTGCATTTTAGTAAGATTAATTACTCCTGTGAGTTTCATGACAACAGGTCTATCGGTTTTCCTTGAAATGTGTTAACAGTGTTGCACATATGCTGAAAAGTGAAAAAAACAGCATAACTACTAAAATAGTGGCCCGATCATGCCAATTTTCGTGTTTTCAAGGAAAGTGCACGGCGCCGACGACGACGACGACGATGACAGACGCAGGTGATGGCAATATGTACAGACACATCTGTGTCTGTACATAAAAAAAATCAGATCTTGGACATTAAACTTATAGTTCTATGCAGTAGAGTTTAATAAAGCCTTTATACTCACTTGGTACAGCAATAAGGACAAACAGAGCTATCAAGAGGTATATGATGGCATCCACTAGAATCATGATGCAGGCTCCAGTAAAACTCATGTCTACCCCTTTGTATGGGTTTACTATCACATTATTCCAGTTGATGCCCACGCCTTGCTGTTCATACCGTCCCATGATGGCCAGAGCATAGGCAAAGGCTGTGTTTGAGAACAGGCACTGCAAGTAACCATTATTAAAAATCATCATTTAATAACTCCATTCAAAATAATCCCTGCAATCTCACTGTAATGACATGTCCATTCAATAAAGACCAAATTATTAGCATAACAAGTCTAACTCGATCATTGCATATCATCTACACTTATTCTCTAAGAGAAAAAGAAATACATGCTTTAGTCTTCACTATTTAAAAATATAATTTACTCACAAGAACAACTGTCCCAGCCAAGGTAATATGCACCTCCATGCTGATGACGATGACATAAGGCAGGTACATGATGAGGAAGACCATGACGGCAGTGAGACTGGCCAGACCAGGACTGGTGAAGAAGGCTGCCACCATCAAACTGAAAATAAAGACATGGTAACCAGTGGTGAAGTGTTGAACTCCTCCCTTAAAGGTTGGCTGATGTTAGTTTGATCCCAAGACAGGGATTCCCAAAACCCACAATGTACCTCTGGCATTCTCACAGTAAGTATAAGTACACTGCTACTAATAAGTACACTGTAATAAGTACACAACTAATTACCACCTCCACTTTCAGAGTTCTGACCAATGTCTTTGGTTTTTACAATGATCACCATGCCTTTCAATTAATTGGTTTCATTATAAATGATTTAGCACCAAAGATTCAGGAGCAAGCCATTAACGAATTCAAGAGTTCCACTCATTTCCCATGACCCACCTCACAGCCATGGATGCCAGAGAGAAGTCCAAGCAGAAGAGGAAGAAGATCCCCATGTCAGTGTGCCTGAGAGACCCAGACACCTTTAGCAGGAACAGTGCCATTATAGACAGGATCAGCATTTCTACAAAGACCAGCAAGGCCCAAGATAGCCAGCTGAGCACAGGGCGGAGGCCCATGATCTGGAGAATCTGGAACAGAAATGATACGCATAAAACACATACTGTAAAGACATATTAATATCATGTATTAGCCAAGGCCCATGACTTATTACATGGAAATTAAGGCATTTGTAATAGGATGAATCTGAAACACAACTGAAATCACTCGAAAGAAACTCCACCTGGAGAATTTCCATGTGATCAATATTTTGCTTAATGAATTTAAAAGATATCTGGATTTCAGCTAGCCTTGCAATGCAAAAAGAGTGACAAATTAATAAGCCAACATAAACTGTAGTTTTATTTAAGTCTTAAGTCAGTGAAAAAACAACAAAATAGCTTCAAAATTAACTTAAAACGTTAAAGCAACTGTGTTTTAAAATTATTCAAAACCAAAAAGATAGAGCACTTTTGAAAATACAACAAACAGGCATGTCAAGTTCTGGCCACTCACCTCCATCCTGCTCTTCTCTCTCTCATACACAGCCCCTCTCACTGACACAGCTACAACTATCAGCCAGGACAGACACATGATCACAGGGAACAGGTAATTGGCCATGTAGTACATAAAGCTGTAACAATAGGTACGGACATGAAGCACCAATCTTTTCAAGGTACTTACAAATAGAATTATAACTGGTAGTTCTTATTTTCAAGAAGTTTGGGCAAAATAACTAACAGCTTAAAATAAAGCTTTATAATATAATATATTACTATTATTATTCAAATAAAATAATGAAAAGGTTTAAGTATTACATTCATAGCATACAAACAACTGAATACTGAACTTTGAAAAGGACACATACGTACTAGTAAAGAACTGTGTTTCTATACTCACTCATCTTTCTCATAGCATGGGAAGGGCATCTGCTGTAGGTTAACTGCAGGTAAGTCAGTCTTCCCTGTGTGTGCTTTGATCACTGCCTGCTCTACCATCTCCTGGAGCTGGATAAAACCACGCATGTACCTCATGTCCTCCCCAAAATCATCAGATGGCTCTGGTCTCCAAATACTTAAAATAAATAAATTAATCATTTCATGAATAAATAAATAATGCCATAAAAAACATATTTACTCGTTTTCAATAGCACACTCAAAAATCAGAGAAAAGGAGATTCTTTCTATTCATTCTTTCTATTCATTCATTATAATTCTTTCCAACTATATTAACAAGCAACAAAAAATCAAAAATACATATCATCTTCATTGTTTTAACAAATAGTATGTAATATAATACACTAGTACTCAGCTCAACCAGTACTGGTTTGATATTTATCAAATGAACAGTAATAATGTTAATCATTTAACTATCATTCAATAACATGGTTGTTCAATGAGAATGTTGAAACAAATCATGTGTAGCAGAGATACTCACAGATCTCTCATTCTATCAGTCCTGGCCACGTTATCAATGTCCATCCTAATCTCATACTTGACATGCTTAGGGATGGAAGCTGTAGCTCGCTTCTTCCTGCTACTGGTGCTGCTGGAGGAGTTTCTGAACACCACAGCTAAAAGGAAATACCTCAAAATTAGGCAAGACAATAAAAAGCAACAGAAGACTGATTATGGCCAAATGTCCTGTTAAACCTTACTTGAAAAAAATATAACAACACACATGAAATGTAAATGATGAATGTCTGCTGTCATTATTATTATTATTATTATTATTATTATTATTATTATTATTATTATTAACAATCTACAGGCTATCATAAAATTTACAATAAAAGTATTGTTTGATTGGAATGTTAGCTATACTCATACTTAGATATGTTCCAAGTTCTGATTACCGTAGTATAATTCATTCATGTATTGAAAATACTTGTCATATTACTCATGATCATATAATACAAACAAATACCATAACAGCACCTCATAACTGATAATTCTAAACTAACCTCCCATAAGACTTCCAGATCCCAATGCTTGAACTCTGTCTTCCAGCTCTGCCTCTGAGCTGTAACCCTCCATACGGTCCAAATCAAAACACTCGGTGTAGTTGACAATCAGGTCAGCCATTGCCTTCAGTTTTGTCAGGTCTTCTGCTGAGAAGGATGAGAAGCTGTTTAAGCTGCTCATCATGTCGTCCACTGAGACACCAAAGGCATTTTCCAAAGCACCACCGACGAAGGAGTTACTTTTCAATGCATTCTGAAAATTAAGGTTCAATTTTGGTAAGTTAAGGGGCAATCTATTTCCTGACGTCATTACAATTAAGTAATTTTTAAAAAAATTTGTGAATGTTTGAATAATGACATCAATCAAAATGTATCTTTTTTGTAATTTCTGGAAATCCATCATTAATTTATAAAAACAACAATATTATTAATACAAACTTACTAAAACACTGAAACTGATAGTTGTTTCCTTAAACAGCAAAATATCACATAAATAAATTAATGAAGTGTTTAAACATTTTTACCTCTATAACTGTCATCTGGGAGGAAATATTGAGCAGTTCTTGAAGACCAGTGACTCCATTAGCCCAGGATTTGGCTAACTCAACAAATGTTGCCAGGGATTCAAAAGTAGAGTTGGTCTGTGAAAAGAAATATGAGTTTTATTTCATTTCTATTGTTAAATTCCATGTGGAGAAAACTTACTGAATATAAATTATATCTAGAAAATGTTGCTCCTGATTCTCTTAAAAGATGAGAAAGTTAAAATTTTCATTCCAAAGTATTATGCACTGGCATTAAACATGCTAAATACCAAAACTACATCTTGGTTGCAATTATTCCCATGTACAGCTAGGATAGAATTGATAAATCAGATCACCTATTTTGATTTATTTGCTACATGAAAATGAAATGGAAACTTTGAAACATCTGTTAAGTTTTCGTTTCTTGAATTTATTCACTTTTTCAATCCCAAACTCTTACATCAGTTACTATTAAGAATTCTATATGAAAATAAACATGTATCTGACCTCAGACATAATGGCAGCATATTCTGATGTGGCTGGATAAAATGGCACCTTCCCTCGCATCAATGGTTCCATGTATGTCCAGATGATGGCGCCAGAGTCAACACTCTGGATCTATGAAAATGAAAGTGAAAGTGATCACAGCCAAGGAACATTGGAGAATGTTGGTCTTTTGTCACAGAAAGGCCAAAGTACAGTCACCACAGAATGGTTTCTATCTGTGCAATATTGTTTGGCTGCTTTATATACAAAATGCTTTCATCAATGGTGAAAGGCAAGTCACAAATTTTAGAAAGGATTAAAATAAGATTTTCAAAAATGCCAGTGTGATATGGGCATTAATTATACCCACTTATGTCTCATTTCAAATTCAATATTTCATTACTTTATGCACCCATTATACACATCCATCCATATTCACTCATTTCTCTGTGATAACATTTTATTCCCAGCACACCTGTTGGTACAAGGCTTCACAAGAGGCTGGAAGGTCTGTAGGTATTTCCATACTAGACAGAGCAGAGCTGCTAGTAGATGAACTGGTGCTGGGACTCTCCCCAGTGGCAGACTCCCTTGAAAACGAGGATGATATGTCGAAGGCTGTCTCTGTCCCACATAGCATTTCAGACATTCCTTGCACAGCTTGTGCACCTGAAAGCAAGATGCCTTGTATAGACCTGATCTGATCAACTAGAGAATCTAAATGCTGAATCCTTACTGTACAAACAAGGAGATAACCAGCTACCTTACTACACTTGCCTTTACAGGTGAGACATAACAAGTGTATTTGGATTGTATTTAAACATTGTAGTATAGAGAAGAAAAAGCCTACAACTTATAAGGTGTATTCTAGCTCCCCTTGTCTCCAAGAGAGTTAACAATTATAATGAAATATACCTTTAAAAGTGCACTTCTCCGGGTACTTAGATAATTTTTATCAATTTCCTATCATAACTGTTTTTACTATTTCTCAAAGAGAACCTACCAGATATAGTTCCATCCGCTGAATTGAAGACATTCAAGCCATTAGTGTAGTTGGTGACAGAGCTCAAGGCAACAGTCAGGTTAGGTTGAATACTGGTCCCTGTCTGGAACACACTCCTGATGTCTTCTGATGACACGTTATACTGATGAATTAAGGAGTCAACACTGGAGGTAACAAACTGTAAAAATAGAAAAAAACAGTATTACATAATGTACAAAAAAAAGGCATTCATATTCTTTTGGTATGTTGTTAGAATTTTTGTTCTCTAATTACTTCTAACTCATAGTAAAACTGAAATATTCAATTGTAAAATTCCAAATATTTCTATTGATAAATTCTGCAGATCAGTCCAAATTAAATTTCTATAATTCAAATTAACTCGTAGCCCTTTCTTATTCTTTTTATTCAGGGAGATCTCATATTTCTTAGAAAAATGTATAATATGTGTATAAGATTCAAAATTGCAAAAATTACCCTCTTGACAAGTTCTCCAACCTCCAACATGCTGAGTAGCTGCTGGGTTATACTTGCAGTCTGATTCTCATTCATGGCACACAGAGCTGTGGAAACAGTTGCCATGGTTACCCCATTGGACACTGTGTTGTTAAGGATGAGCAGTTTCCCAAGCTTCTGAGGATCACAGAATATGCTCTTAACATTCAGATCTGCTTGACCCAAGTTGATCATCTGAAATTAAAATTAAAATTAAAATCCCTTTTTTTTAATAAATGAAAACACTTACAGTCTGTCTGACAACCAGAACTGAACATTCATTGGAAAATAATATTTATAAGCTGCAAACACAAAAGAGATAAAGGTGTTGATGTGAGTTCAGTCTATATTTGTCTAATAATCATAACAATTTATACAAAAACATTTTTCCGCCCAGTTGTCACCTAGTGTTGGGAGGAAATTCTTGTCCTCTGTCAGGTAACCTGTAATGCAAAACTCCTGGTGTGACACAGGAATCCCAAACTACATAAACTGTGTTCATGCAAACACTGTTGTTTACTTACACAAATGAGTGCATATAAGTTTCAAATGCAAGAAAGAGCAAACAATATCATCGTCCTCTGCTTTGCAATCTCAAAGGTGGTCTGACCTTTGAGGTGTTCTTACCTCTGCAAAAGACAAGTTAGCTGCTAGGATTTCCTGAGCGACAGTACTGGGCAAGTTGACTGTGTCAGTGAGGAATACCTCCATAGCTGTTTCATTCAAAAATACTTGCTTCAGTTGAACTGAAATTCAGAACAGAAAAAAGCACATGTACTTAAAAATATAAAACAGTTTGATACGATAACATGAAAGCAACTAAGCTTAATTCTGATATACAATGGCAATATGTACAGACGCTGTTTTTAGTGAGATTGCAATTTTTTTTTTGAAGGGTTATACATACCTTGCAATGGAAAGAAGTTTTGAAGCAAGTAGAGACCTTTGATGCCAGCAGACATAATCTGTGCATCATTCAACAATGCCCGAGCAGTGCTGTCATTGCCAACTATGTTCTTGAAATCATTTATCAGCAGATCCAGACTGTAACAATATCAAATTATATCTTAATGAATTAAAATATACATGAAAAAGTACCACAAAATATCTACCCAAATACTAGTCTACTTTCTCATAAATAATAATTCGTTTAAATTAAATGTTTCATTCAATGGGTGGGTGAATATGTATGTCAGTTCTAAAAATGGCAGTGATATATGCAATGAGAGAAAAATTACTTGGTAAAGACTGTCTCTGCTCCTCCACCATTGAAGAAAGCCACAAGACTAGGTGCTGCTGCTGCCAGGGACTCCACATTAAAGTTGGTCATCAGTGTAGCAATCTGAGTGAATTCTGACAAGCTAGTCACCAGATTTGTTGTAGTGTTCAGCACAGACAAGGCCCACTGTGAGTTGAAGGAAGAAGGTACGCCTGTCTCCAAAAACTAAAAGAAAAAGCATAATTATTTTAAAATAATTCATTCCTCACAGCTTATTCTTATCACAAGTTCACCAAATTAATAACTTTTCTCTCTGGCATATGATAACTAATTTAAACTGAAAAAAATAATTACAAATACCTGACATTGTATCAAATGTGGGACAAAATTAAACAGACATTAGAAACCATTTAAATGAGAGATAAAATTAAACAGACATTTAACATCATTAGTTTCATAGTCTTCTCAATTGAAAATAATTACAAAAGAATAGTATAATAAATATGATATAACAACCAAAGGTCATGTTTCATGTTCTCGTGTCCTTCTCTTCCTGTAGTGTGAAATCGTTAACACAGATATATTGTTATTGCTTCATAACAAACTTACGGCCATGGCGACCTTCTGGATGTCCAGCATCTGAGCAAGGGTGCTGATGGTTTCATTTTTATTTGGCCCACAGATGGCAGCACTGATGTTGGCAGTTGTCAGTTGAAAGGCGGGGTGGAGAGAGATCAGCTGACTGAGGGCTGTCACATTACACAGCACTGACTCTAAGTCATCTCGGCTCATTGCTGCTATGGTTGTCTGAAAATGAAATAATTTGGAGGTTTGGTCACATATCTGATTCACTCTCAAGTAACATTTTTATAATCACTACTCCTAACAATTAACATAACTTGTTACAATGAACAATTAACATAATATGTCACAAATGAAAAGAATCTCATTTCCAAATTCTTAACATGGACCAAAAGAAACTTTCAAGTTTTGATTTGTACTGAATTTAAGTAGTTATCACCCTGCACAATCTATATCTGTCCAGTTTGTATTAAATTCTAAAGCAATAATAAATGCACTTACTGGATTAACATTGAACGTGGAATTCATGAGTGCTGCAATCAACTGTGAGGAAGCTCCACTGATCTGAGCCAGGTCAGGCAGGTGACCAGGATTACTACTCAATATAGAGGAAAAGCTGGTCATGGCTGAAATAATATGAGGAAATAATAAGTTAAAATTATGTACAAAACACACACACACACACACACACACACACACACACACACACACATGGAATAGTTGGAAATTAAGGACATGTTCAATGAAAATAAGTTTTCATTTTGCAAACAATGTTGTTATATAATGAAGTCTCTTATAGTATGGGTCACCATGATTTTGCTTTCACAATATTACATCACTTGTTTCTGACACAACTTACTATCTTATAATTAAATACCAGTGTTTATGTCTTGAATAAGATTATTAAATACAGTTGGATACCCCCATGGACTTACATGTCCAAGTGCTGTTACTGAGGACATTTTGTAGTACCAGGTACATAGGAGTCCATATGACGGCCATGTTGGGATCAGAGCTCATGTACCCATTGACCTGGACAAGCATCTGCTTCATCCTGGAACATGGGAAAAATGAATGAACAGTGAAAGAGCTGGGCAGCAAGTTTTTTAAAAATAATATTATTCCTATTGCTCAATACAGTTTCTGTATAAAGTAAATGAAAAAGGTTTACAAGATCAAACATATGTGATTAACATGCACAAACTGTATACAGACATTCTGATAAGGACCCTTTTAAAGCTACAAACTAAAAGTCATAGAAGGAATCATATCTGTAAATTAATCCTGCTACCTCATGTCAATTCACAGATAAAAATGCCCTTTGCAAGAAGAATGCTTTTACACTAAACTTGTCAGAAAGCCTGTCTCTTCTCTGACTGCAGCTCTATGTCCTGCTATTCATCAACTCACATTGTTCCAAAGTCCATATGTGCCATGTCTGGGGCCATACATTTGGTGAACATTGCAGCCCCATTGTGCACGGTGGCGTTCATCTTTGTCATCACAGAGTGGAAATTACTAGCCAAACTATCACAGCTAACCGGAGAAGAGAAATTCATGGTCATCATTTCTCCCATCTGCACATAAAAAAAAATGATAAGTGAGATCTTTCCAAATGAATCCATAAGACTATGCATTGTTTTCTCTAATAGTACATATCTCATAGCATATCTTAATTCTTTATTATTATTCTCTAGTTGTTAGAATCTGTGTAATAACCTTAACAAATATGAGATTATTGTCAGTCTAAAGGAACTTTAGCTGCAGTTCATATCTACTTAATGATTCATGTAAAAAACATGAAATAAGTCCTAACTGAAAACTTCAACTTTAGGTTTCCAAATATATAAAAAAATTATTATTAATTTAATCAAAAATATTCGCAGCCAAAATATTCAAGTTTTGATACCTTAACAATAAGCACATGCAGGTCATATCAGGATATATAATAATCAACTGGCATAAGCTTCAGAGACAAGAGCTGCTTTAATGGGGATTGTCTACACACTGAATTTGTGGATTTGAACTGAACAATAATATTAAAATACAATTTCATTTATTCAAGAAAATACATAAATGCCACTCTCACCTTAGACACTCTCCTACCCACCTTTGTCATAAAAACAGGATCACTCTGCAACTGTGTCACAGTTGTCATCAATGCAGTAACGTTCATAGACATTCCGTAACACATCATTTCCTCCATCACTCCATAATAATCTGTCATCAGTTCCAAATATGCCTGCATGTAGGCAAACATGGGTAAAGCCCCTGTGGAAGCTGCCTGCACGCAGCTGCCATATAACATAGCTGTGGTGTTCATCTTGGAAACATCTTGAGAGGCCATCAGACAACTGGTCATGGCAGACATGTTGAAGTTGGTTGCTGTGTGGTTGATGAAATCTGTCAAGGTTGTGGATAAGGACACGATCTCTGAGCAGTTGAAACTAATGGTTTCTGTACCATTCATTACAGCTGACACCTGCAACAATGGAGTTTTCACATTAAATTGACTGGTTTTACACCTACAGTATAATTGGAGGCCATTGTACTCTGGTGAGTATTTTGAAATATTCTGGACACAAAGTGAATCACCTACACATTTCAGAAAATATAATAACAGTTTAGGAGTTTGAAAATATAAATCATATACAGAAAATACCTTTTAATGATAGCATCTTTTAATGCCTAAATAAATACTACAGAAAAAAATAGAAAACCAATTATATATAGATTCATGGATCTGGCTACACTGAAGTTTATGGATATATACAATATGGAAGATGACTGAATGGAGAGAGACAATATAAAACAACTCACCATCGCCATGATGTCCATGGCAGTTGTATTTAGGCTGGTTATCTTAGCCATAAGTCCAGCTTGATTCATGGTCACAGCATCACACACTAGTCCAGGGAAATCTACAATGAAGTGGGATATCAATGTGATAAATATGATGCATCCTCTTCTCAACCTTTTTACAACTGAATACTTGTTTGAAAGCTTAAGGTTACTCCTCACCAATAGGATTGGCATACATGAGCACATTCACAGGTGAAAAGAAATCATTTTGATGGCAGAAAATGCATATAATATGCTTAAACATAAAAAAAATGCACAAATAGAGAATCTCCTGTCAAAGCAGAGTGAACAAAGTCATGGATACTTCTGCACTATTAATAATAAAGAAATGAACTAGACAAAACACCATGAAGCACCATTGCCAATCAAAAACATTAATAACCAAGATGCAATTACCCAGATGTGCCAGAGCCTGCTGATGGACCATCTTGGCTGCTTGGTTCCCTAGTGCAAACATGGTCTTAGTTGCAGGGTCCAACATGGCACTCACTGAGGAACAGGTATCAGTCAGGCTGGATATTAAGAAACAGAGGGAATTCTGGTAATTTTGATATATTTCAAGAATGTTTTAAAATTAGATACACATAATGAAAATGGAAAAACAGTAGTTGAATATTTCAACTTATCAGTGAGTCCTTGTTGATAATATTTTTTAAAATCCATGACAGGATACACATAAAGTAAATGCAAGCATACAATACCAAACACAAAAACTCAACAAAAATTATAGACTTGCTGAATCAAGATGATTATATTTTCTGGTGTAGATTATCTAAATAAAGAGATTGAAATACTTACAATGATGTATCAGTGAATGAGGGCATACACTGTACAACTCTGGTGTAGTTAAGAGCCCATGTTGCAGGGTTAGCAAGGCCTGTCAGTTTAGTCACCAGAGCTATGGCATCAGAGCAGTTATAACTGACAGTATACGGTGTTACAGTACTGTTACTGCTATTGCTGTTGCTAACGTCCATACTGGTACTGTTAATCAGGGACAGCAGCTATATGAAAGATAATGTTGAAAAATGATTATTTCTATGGATTTGGGATATGAAAAAATAATGGCAGTTAATTAGTAATGTAATCAAGATTTTGGCTAAAAAGCTGAAAGAGAAGATATGGCAAGTTGTTTCACACAGAAATAAAATTAAATATATTTCTTACTCATAGTCACAAAAATATCTCATTGTGTTTTCCCTGTTTGTAGGTTTAACAGAAATGCATTTGGGTTATTTGCCTGTTTTACTTATATTCGTAAAATCAAATTCTGAAGCACATATTGCTAATAAAACCTTGCCCTTGCACTGCTATCTTTCCTTTCCTTCTAACTTTCCTTTTCCACTGTACATAATAAATACCACTTTTCAAAATCCTAGTGTGAAAATTATGGAGCTTTTTGGACCACAATGAAGTGATCAGGGAGGTGATGGGCTTATTCTTTTAAGTCATAACTACCCATATATTGCACAAAAAAACATAAACATAAACAGATCAAAACATATCCTCATATCTTAGGACAGTTCCTGGTAAATTTCTGAAATACCACCATCACCAATCTCATGTATTGTTAAATTGCTAAGCTATAAAAGAACTTTACCTGTTGCATGCTCTGTTGTATAGACATGGCTCTACTCATTGAGGCTGAGACATCACCAGATACAGCATCACAGAGGAAATCATTAATGTCTGAAAAGTTAAAATGTTTCTTGACAGCAGTTCCTTTAATCAATATTAGAACATTTCAAAACATCTAATAACATTTCAAATAAAGTCGCAAAAATAAAAGCTTAAAAAATATCAATATTGTTTTTTTTTTTTTTTTTTTTTTTTTTTTTTTTTTTTTTTTTTTTTTTTTTCTTTTTTTTTTTTTTTTGGTCTTTACTATTAATATTAATTCCAATGTGTCTGGATGTGTCTTTTACATCTTATGAGTTCACCTAACGCAATCACATGATATACCTGAATGACAGTAACTTTACCCCTTGTTTTTTTTTATTATTATTCTCAACCCCTATTTCCCCAATTAAGTAATATGCAAGACCAACAGTGTGTTTAGATGCCAAGTGTTTTCATGTAAATTTGGCATCATTTTTGTTTTTATTTTTGCCATGTCCAATATCTGTCATTCTTTTAAATTAAAATATGACTCACAAATATGCCCAGATAAATATGCATGTTTAATGCTGCAAAAATAAATAAGTAATATACCTATCAATAAACATTATCAATATTTTCACCTAACATAAACTTCACTGCCAACATTACAACACTACATTATTGTTGTTTAATATTTTCCATTTTTTATGTTAAATAAATATTTTTAATATTTTTTTAAAGTGAGAAGAAATAATATCAATATTTCTAAATTCTCATACATAATCAACCGACCTGCATAATGCTAAAATTCTTACCTCCACTACCCATCAGCTGGTTAGACACCTCCTCCAGCACAGGTGCCACTGCAGCAAAGTATGACGCCATGGAGCTGTAACCTGGGTCTGCACTTAACATACTCTCCAGACTGCTGCAAGTCCCTGACACACTGGAAGTTCACAGATATAAGACTTTTTACAGAATATATAGTGTTTTTAAATTTAGTGTTCCTTAGGATACATAGATGTCGGTCTGATAATTTCTATCACCAAGATGATGATAATAGTTAAGTATGATAATGATAATTCAACCAAGATTAATGGTTGTGGTTAGTACAGTCAGCCTACTTCCTAAATCAATTTGTCAAAGGGGAAATGGAAAATAGCTGTTCATAACAACACTTAGATGTGCACACACATGCACACACACAAAAGAAAAAAAACACTACCATATATTCCAGGCACAGCTTTCTTTGAAGATTTATAGAAGTCCATTAGAAGACTTTCACCCATTTAGTTTTTTTTTTTTTTTGTGCTTGCATTTTAAGATTTATAATGATGTAAATCATTGTCAGCAATTTAGAATGTGGTAGTTAATCTAAACAAAAAGAATCCTAATGGACTGCAGTTTGGAGAAGAAAATTCGGATACTCACATATCCCCATAACTCTGTGGCATACAAGACATTGCCAGGGCAGTGATATTGGTGCTGTTAATCCAGTTGGTGATGTAATTTCTGATCTCTGTCTCTTTAGCCAGTGTGGCACTACAGGAGAATGGTAAAGACACGGTGCTGCTGGTACTGTTGGTGTCATTTCCAGTCTGCATGCTGGAGTTACTGAGGACTTGTACAATCTAAAAGAAAAAAGGTATATGAATTGTACAACTATATACAGTGGTCCACACCAAGACCATTAAGACTTGAGAGATGGTTAACAGATCACCATTTACTAAAAAAAAAAAAAAACTCTGAATCAGATTTCATTGCAGACCTTGACGCATCTCAGGAACCATCAGAATTGAATTTAAAAAATGCGCAATTCCACATTTACGCAGAAAAAGCTCACGTCTGTTTATTTCTTCCCTTGCTTAACACAAACCACACCTTTATCTTTCACCTGAGCTGGCCTTACATCAATTAAGTCAAAATAACCACTACGATGGATGATATAATTAAATGAAGGGACTCTAATATGCTCATTCTGTTTCTTGCTTGAAATAAATTAAGTGTTTAATTATATTCATGACAAAAGATTATTCACATCTGTCATGTTTAAAACCAAGAAATAAATCAGGGGTTAAAAAATTTGTGAACACAAAATTAAACACAAATGCAAGATAATCAAGGTGTAATATTGTAATGACTCAATCTTTTCAGTGCATGGGAACACTTGTAAAATTTACACAAACAATAACTGTAATTTTTTAAGTCTTAAATTCTTAAAATTAAAACATTCCTATTGAGTGGTATCAGCAAATCTGAAAAGCAGGCTACCTTATAGTTCTATTCCATACATTTAAAACAACACAAATTGTAAAAGCATTTTCAGTGACTCAAAAAATTATGTATCTCAAAGACTGATAAGTTTTCCCCATTGACAAGATCAAATCATGAAGTAAAATTAATGTATATGACAACAAAGTTCCTGTTTTTCAGGGTCAAAATTTCAAATAATTCACTTCTATGTACAGTAAGTAATAGTGAAGTCAAAGGCATGTAATCATGGAAAACTCAAAGTTGGGTTGCTGCAAGTTGGGTTATGATAAAATGTATGACACATGACTATGGGAGGTTTTCCCAGTGGTTAATTGCATGACACATCTATGCTTTTTAAATCTTAAATGAATCACAAAAAATTAACATAACACATAAATTACCTATTTTAATAACTATTCTAATTAATAACCAACTTAAAAGTTATAAACTTTTTACTTCATATAGATTGCACAACCTTATGCCATACTATACTGCGCAATAGCTGCCCTCAAACATGATTAGTAAATCACTGATAAATATATGTTCTGCCAAGCTCTCTACCAGGAAGAAATTTAAAAAAAAAACACATTTTGTATTTGCTGAGTCCAGAATTAGAACCCTCAGTAAAAACCATCTAACAGTCCAGAAATAGAAAACTCCCTTTATTTACTTCTTGTGGGGGGAATTAGTTATTAGGATTATAGCTAAATATATTAACAAACAATAACCTGAACAGGTAGCTATTCCGTTTGCACTTTGATCAGTTTGGAAATATCACGTGACCATCCACTTTATGGGACTAGTTCACACTTGGTGCTATCAGACCAAAACTGATTCTATCTTAGTGTAATCATGTGTCTGATAGCAATGGAACAGAAATAAATACACTTTAAAACTTTCAAATTAACGAATAAGCAGAAAAGAACTTATTTTCTATTTATTTTTTGAGCATATACCTCTCTAATTTCACTAATAGAAGCCATTAGCATAACATTCAATAGTTTTTAAATACTCTTAGCTATTAAATGTGAATGTGACCAGGTTGCCAAACCAAACAATAACATGACATCTAACCTTACACGTGACGAGCAATTGGTAATCCCCTTCTTATCTATTAAAATTCTGGATAAATCTATGAAACAAATCATGCTATCATCACCCACCTATCAAATTACTAACATAGATTTTAGATGAGATGGATGAACATATTTTCAAAAACTGATGACATAAATTTATTTGCTTAAAATGGGGTTTAATTTTCTGGCCAGGTGAAAGCGGGCTATTTATAGACCATGACAATGCTGAGTTGACAGGTATATAAATACAGGTGACTTCAAGCTTCCAGAGGCATTCAGAACTTAGAGGCCTATGGTTTCAATGATCTTACTTTTCTATTGATGCAAATGTTCACAGTTGGGCAATAATACCTGTTTATGTATACCGCAGATGATTTGAAAAGGTGACACTAGGTGTATTATTCCATTCAGCAGTGCCTAGGGATACAAGTACTATTGAGGATTAACAGCAGATCCAAAACACCAGCGCACATAAACAAAAGGCGGCCTAATTCTTGAGGTAACATAAAGGTCACTTGAGTTACCAGTGAAAGATCATTATAAAACTCAGTGTTAAAAATTCATTTACTACCAGGTGAACAGCTGACATTTGGCTGTCACTTATCCTGATATGCAGGTACAGTAAACAAATAATCTTGAACTGAAGAGACCTCTACGCAGTAGATACTACTGTAAGTATTTAGATAACCTACAGCACTGTTGCAATACACTTGGCATACAAGCAGTCCAGTTCAACACTGCAAGTTATTACATGATCAGCAGGTGTCAGGATAAGCTTGGAAATATACATGCACAAACAGGTTAACCAGTCAAGACCACTAAGGCGTTTTGAAATGAGTAAGACCTTAACATGATGGATAGCGAGGATCATGCCGTCTTCGTTGTTGGTGACACTAAGGAAGAAGAGGAAGAGGAAGAATGTGCTGGTGCTGCAGCAAGCCTCATTGCTATACCTGGTGCTACAGGGGGACAGTACAGTGACTTAGGGACCTTCAAGGACAGTCTTTCACAGGATTATGCCCCTCATAGACAACTACATTCTGTTCAAACAGAGCAAGCCATTGGAGAGGTTATTATTTTGCAGAGGGGAAGGGCTTTCTCTTTGCCTAATGTCTCTTCCATGATGCAGGCCAGAGCACATAATGAGATAGGACTTGACTTGAGAAAAATAAGCGATGACCTCAATATGGAGTACAAGGATCACCATGAAAAAGTACAGGTGAGACAAAAATAATTCCACAAATAAATTTTGTCACATTCCACATAATTTAAGCTATTATAATAATTTTCCATATTTCTCTTTCATTTTTACCTATTCTTTTCTTTTTTACATTTCAATTCTTTTTTATTCACTAAATAACTTGGAATATAGCTATGACCTATTTATAGAGGGTGAAAGGGGTTTCCCCAATCTATCAAATTGCACCAACTCCTTAGGTAAACAATGACTCATGAATATATGGATTATTCATCAATACCTGCAAATGTTTTTAAACTGACTTTTGACTGATCAGTTGGTACTTCTTATTTTTCACAAAACAGCCGATTCAGCAATTTGAAAATACTACCTTCTTATGTACAACTTTCTAATACTTCTTATTTTTAATCCTAAAAAAACAATATTTTTTTTTTAATTCAGTAAAATAATAGCTTTTGGACCCTGGCTAGAGCACAAAAACAGCAAACAAGAATGTACAATAAATAGAAAAATTAAACCATTTTTATCCATCAATTTGTCTATTTTTTTTTTCAAATATTTTTTATTTCATTCATTATTCATATCTTTCAGAAGGCTGCAAGAAATCGCAGAGAAAGTGCTCCAGCATCCGTACTCTCATCCTCATTTACTGGAGCCAGTGTTGAAGACAACCACAGCTTTTTTCAAAGGTTGTATAGATTACTCTTTGCACCAACACCTTCACAACCCAGGCGGCCTGCACGAGTCAGAAGATACACAATTTCAAATCTGGAGACATTACCTGATGAACAGTCAGAAAACTCATCAAATGAAGATCACCAAGACATATTTGCCCATTCTCTTTAACCTCAGAGAAGTAACATAAGGCATTTGTATATAATGAATCAGTTCATGACATCATCCTTTTCTGGTACTGTAGCAGTAATCTTTTTCATTTTCATTACCAATTTTTCATTGTCATACTTTCAGTTTTACTATACTTAACAGAATTGCTCATAAAAAAAATAATCACAGAAATTTTTCTGACCCAATGAGATATTTTAATACAGGGTTATTTATTAAATGTTAGATAAAATATAACAAGGAAATCTTCACTGCATGGAAATATCATAAAATTGTTGAACTGAAGGCTCAGTTACTGCTAAGTACTTTATCCTTGGCTATATCCATCTAGTGTCGTTCATATACTTCATCCAGAGTCAGAACATAGTGAACTGGACATTGCTATTTTTTATTTATTTATTTTTTCTTAAGAACAAAAATTATGAGCAAAATCAATATACATTTTAGAAAGTTATAGAATGTTTATCATTTACCTGTGTTACTTTTATATTATGCCACTGGCTAGCATATGACTTTTATCTCACTCCCAGTTTAACTTACATTCATAATCCTAGTCTGTATGTCCATTGCAGTCATCATAGTTGCTGTACTATTCATAGACATGTAGTCACAGAGAAGTCCACTAAGACCTGAAATTAATGACTTAAGATGAAAACTGGGGATTGTTTTGATGTGCAATAAAGTTAACGTGAAAAGCTTTTATTAAAATTACATTAAATTCTGTCATTGTAAGTCACTGATGTTGTTTCTGTTCAATGAAACTGCTTAATCTGAGATTTTATTACGGGTTTTTACCATTGAAATCCTACTGGGTTTACATGGTGGGTTTGTACATTCTGCATTTTTGTAATATTATAAGTTTATATTATCAATGAGTCAAGGGTAAAACAACGTCACACTGAAATTTTGTTGACATAATAAAGTTACATAAAATGTTAACAACTGGTCTTTATCTTTACAAAATATATAAATTTTATGAAATAAAAATGACCTTGAAAATTAATGAAACAATAATACTGTAAAGCATGCTATGAACTTTGTTAAGAACTATATAGGGCAAAAGAGATAAAATCGATAACACAATCCAAATTTCTCACCTGATCCTTGAACCACCAGGTTGTGTATCATATCTGTCACCTGGCTGTTAATATAGAGGCCACTCATGTCCATCGTACCTCCATGTTGAGAGGCTACCAAAGATATCACCGCATCACAAGTCGACCCCATGCTGCAACAATGAATAATTTGTTTCAGATAAAATAATTGACATATCACTAATTTGTAGTATACCCATCTCTATGGTCTATGATCTTTGGGGAATGAAAACCTGTCAATCTACTTCAAATTAAAAAATATTATCTATAAAAAACATAGGTATGTTTGTTATCTTTGAATAAATATATATTATATATATATATATTTATTATACAAAAATATCTTATTTAATAACTGCTTTCAAAAAGATGAAAATCCAGAGCATCAAACTATTCAATGAAAATCCTCCTAAGAACATAAAAACCTAAATTGTTTTGATAGAAACTTATAATAAAAACCTGAATATTCTTAATCAACTGCATCAAATATATGTTTTCTCTGTATAAAGCAAAGCCAAATATTCTGCAAAATGTAAGGGCAGATATTTACTTTGTAGTTACATGCTCCATCAACCTTGGTAGATAACTCATGACCAGGGGCTGCCACATGGTGACATTAAAGTTGTCAGCATCATTTCCTGTCAGACTAAACTGTGGGATGGTAATATTGAGAGACTGGACTGCAGCAAGAGCTGCCATATACCGGCTGATGCTATTCTGTAGAGTAGTAAAATTGGCAGCCGTGGCCTGCCCAGTTGCTGACATGATCTGAAATAATATTGTTATTCACATAATATACTTGGCTTTTTTTGAAGATGAGCAGCATGATGATTTAAAAAAGAACAACCATTAAAAATATACAATTGTGTGATTTAATTATTGCAAAAGAACTATATGATGTGCACACAAGCATGTGTGTATATATGGATGTGCATGTGTATATATCAACATACACAGACATAAGGTGATGTTGAATTTTTGTGTTCATGTATTCGATACTGGTTAGTTCACCTGCTTTAATAAGTAAGGCTCTAAATATTAAAACCTTATTACCTACCATATTGGCAACCTCTGTGCTCTGACTCTGAGTCAGTTCTGTCACCAGTGTACTTGTATTCAGCTGTAGTGCCTCACACAGCAGAGACTGCAGGTGTGTTGAATTCACCTCACTGTTGGTGGTGTTCACTCCAAAAAATGCCTCAAAAGTGGTTACATTGTAGCAAATGGACATGATGATATTCTCTTGACTTTGGTTAAACTGCAAAAAAAAAAAAATCATAATGCACTGATACTGACATATTTTAAGCATATCTTACCTAATTACTTCTAGTTAATGACTTCCTTTTTTTCTTTTTTTGCACCAATAGGTTCAAATCAGAATAAAAGTAACTTGAATGTTATGTAAATGTGGGTATATGAGAGTAAAAGATATATACATTAGATACCAAACAATATTTTCAAATATTGCATATTCAAAATATTCACATACAGCAATGTCTTACAGTGCCCCAAATAAACAAATTTTATCCAATACATGTACTAGTAACAAAGGCATGCTTGAGAGGCACTGTATATTTGTCAAATTCCAAACACTAAACAGTATTATTCTAAATTTTACATACATACACATACTTTATCAAAATCCCATTCAAGATTACTACATGTAACCAGAAATTCATGTAAATTGTTAAAAAATTTGTTCATGGAACAATAGCACTGATAAAAGAATTAAAGACAAACATTTGGCTATAACAGCTTTTTCAAAGACAAAAGAAAATGCAAAATATTCTACTGAGTTGACAACTTCCAGGGTACGAAACAAAGTTAAGGTTTAAAGACAAAATGTTATTAAACTTACCTGAGAAAAGTTCCTATGTTCAGTGGTGACAAACTCCAAGGCAAACTGGACCAGTACAGGTAAGTTGTCAATGAGTGCAGTAACCTTTCTCACCTCAGCAGTGAGAATATCCTCCAGGACTATGATGGAGGTAGTATTAGCTAAAATAATAAAGTAACTTTTTTTCAGTAATATTTCTTCTCATCAGTTTTGAACAAAAAAAATTTAGACAAAAACAAGGCAAAAATACTTAAAAACATCAATGCATACAGTGCAATTCTCAATGTGCAATTTTAGTTATCACTCATTATTGTCACACACGTACCATTATTGAATGATTACAGATATGGAAAATTACAATGACAAGGTCAAATTGTTCTAAAATCACATACCCTGTATCAAACACACCCTGGATAGTACATGCCATAATTAACATAAATATTTGCAAATAACATCTACTAATTTCTATATCACATAATAATTATTATACCATTATTATTATATAATATACTTGCCATTAATTTTCTCCAACTGTGCTGACATGAGATCTAGCTGACTCTGTATGGTGCCTAAGTAGCTCTGGGTCACATTCAGGACACTTGACAACATGCTGTTGTTGGCCAAGCTGGGATCATCCAGAATTGTATAAAGACTGCTCAAGCTGTTCAAATAACTGAAAAAACAAACAATAATATACTACTTGTTTACTTTCCATTGTCCAACATTATATATCATTTTACTCTTTCCTACTATCAGATTTCCCATAAAAAAAAGATAATTAGGCATTTCTGGAATCATTTCAATATTTTCACAGTTATAAAAGTTTAACTTATTTAACATAAGCTGTTCTTGGTCATATTAAGCTACACTTTCTGCAGGTTTGTTTTTATAAACACCTTGTCACATTGAACTGCATCATAGACTGCTGTAGTGTCTCCAGTGACACCAGGAGAGAGGTGATGGGTGTGTCTGTAAGGTACGTGCCATTGTAGGACATCAGCTGCATAAAGGTGGCCATCAAGGCGTTCATATTGCCTTGGACCGCTGTCCAGTTCAGTTGGACATTTGGCACTTCAGTGAGATTAACAGATTGTATCTGGAATGATAATGAAAAGTTCCAAAATGTAGAAATATTACAGTATTATTATTCACAAAATCAAGGCAAAATGAACTTTTCTTACCAAGTAAATATAATATAGTTACGTAAATTTTATATATACAAGTAAATTTAAGGGTTTAGACCTTTCAAATTATGAATCATTGCCAAAGCTAAAAGGAATGTCTGGTTGGTTAACTACTATTCTAATAAAATCTTTGAATTTGTAGATAGTCTAGAGCATTAAAATCATTTGATTTATCCAATCAAAACTTAGGTAAAAATCTACCAATTTTAAATGATTAATCTTGTGTAACTATATGAATGATCATGTACATCTGTCTTAAAAAGACAATATGAGGCTAAATGACACAAAGTATGTATAACATGGTGAGTTGTTCCTCACAGATAAAAACAATTCTAATTTTTTTTACCTGTAGTATAGCAGATAATGCTGGGTCACTCATTAGCTCAGTTAACATTGCCGTCTGTATGGTGGAATTGCAAACCATTTCGTGCAGCCTATCCAGATTGGCAGAGTTGGTGACACCCAACAGAGATGCAATTGTAACACTGCTATTGCAAATGTTGAAGGTCATCTGCACAACACTCTCTGCTACATTGGTAATGGTCTCATTGGCTGATTCCGTAACATTGGTAAGGGTTTGATTGGCTGATTCAGTAACATTACTAAGGGTTTCATTGGTTACATCTGTAGTTTGAACAGAGTCAGCTTGGATATCTAAGACTGGAATTTGAAGTAGACCCAACAGGACCTGAAAATACAACAAAGTATAACAATTAACACCAAATACACGTATTCCATCCTAGATAAAACTTTTGGAAAATTGCCTGAAATTTTAAAGAAAATCTGTTTAAAATTCTACCAGTAACTGACTTTCTGTAGTGTTCTATTCTACCTGGTCTGGAGACACCATGCTACTGGCATAGTGGTCAACCACGTCCTTGGTGGCCAGGATGGTAGTATTGATGAAATCATGGAGCCAGTCAGCTGTGGGTAGTAGGTCCCTCACACGCATTCCATTAGCTGAAAGTATGCAAAGTGACTAGTTTCATGCATGATTAAATTTTTAATTGGTGAAATAGTGTTAATCAAACACTCTGTATCCTAACAGACTTTCTAGAAATATGAATTCTGCTTTAACTGAAGGTTTATGACTGGCAGATAATTAAGTCAATTTCAAACTTCCATCTCTATCCTTCCCACCTTCTCTTTCTGTTATTCAACATACAAGCCCATTACTTTATCTAATTTTTCTTACATGCACATACATGCGGATGTGTTTTTTGAGGCGTAAATATACGCACATAGCACAATGATAAGCACACACCTAATGCATTCTGCATGTCCGCATTTACAGCCGTCACTGCTGTGTTCATGATGGACATGTAAAGTTTGAGTGTTCTCCAAGATGTCACATTCATTAAGGCTGTATCCAGGGTTTCCAGCATTGTGGTGATTGATGATAGACTAAAATGTGGGAAAATATTGTAAAATGTGTTAAATAGGTACAAAATGCAAAAGCAACTCATTGAAAACAATTTTTTAATGGTAAACATAAAAATTGACCCTTCATTAATCAACTCACCATCGAAAAAGTGCCGTCCAATTTAATTTAAAGTGTCATCATTAAGAAGATTAAGATTTCAGTTAATTTTACTATACAACTTCCTCTGCTGCTTGTGTGTTTTACTTTATGTGTATTTTACTTAAATAAGCCTTTTTGTTCAAATATACACAATATGATATATGACTAAACTATAACTGTTACATTAAAAATGTATATATAGGTACATACTCATTCCCCATTGAAGTAAACATAGTCTGAAGAGCGGCACCAAAAGACCCCAATTTTTCTGTCACTTGTGTCCAGTTGACACTGATACTGCCAGGAGTCATCAGACGGCTGATGTCTGCCGCCACACTCTGCTGAAAGGTCATCATGTTGGTCTGTAACTCGGTGGAATGAATGGACAGGTGAGTGAAGTTGAAGCTGGACACGGCAGAGGTGTCATTCAGGAGAGCCGTCAGGTTTTGACCCCACTTCATGAAAAAAAAACGTAAAAAGTGCTGAATTATTAAAACAGTGAATATATATCAGAATAAAACTAAGATAATAATGATTGTAAACTGGTTTAATTATAGCAGATAGCAAATTATGCTGCCAAGAACTGTTTTACAAAAATGACTTGCAGCTCTATAACAATAATAATACTTGCAGACTTTGTATCGAATACAATGCTTCTTTTGTTCTTAAGAAAATGAAAGGACGGATAAACAATTTATCACACTCCTTACCTGTGTCACTGTTCCAACATCAGCAGTAATCTGTGCTATGATGGTGGTGACATTGGTGCATATCAGTGATGTCATCTCCGTGACTGGCACAGATGAAGGTAGCGCCAAAATGGACTGAAGCATGCTGGGATTACAAATCAATGCAAGTGGATCTGTGAATGACGTCAGGTTGAGAACCTAGAAGAGGACAGAAAACAATTGCATTTTAACTGACATCAATTTCACAGCTTTGCAAACCTTATACTTTGAAATCTCTACAGGGAATTTCATAAAGTCTGAATGTTTTAATCAGTAATATAATGATTATTTATTTTATTGTTAAAAAATTTAATCTACCATTTCATCTGAGGTCTTACATATCTTATTGTATTTTAAGTAAATTTATCTTATGATCTTTTCATCATTTTAAGTTGCACCAAATTTTTGTTGCAAGCTTCATCATTATAATCTATTACTATTGTCATTATCATCAAGTCAAGCATATTCAATATTTCATAGTCTTAAATACAACCGGGTCATAACTCAAGCCACCTTTTGTGTGTCCATCATGGCAGTGACCAGTGCTGGGATAATGTCCACTCCATGAGTCAGTGTATGATTGACCAGTTGGAAAATAGCTGTGCTCTGACTGTACATGGCTGAAATCATTAATATTTTTCTATATAAAAAGTCTTCTAAACAACTAACTTAAAAATAATATAAATGTTACTAAATAGGATATGATATATTGTGTTTTTTGTATAAATCTAAACAGCCATACATTGTTGCCTAAGCCTGAGGAATATTAAACAATGAATAATACACCATTACCAGAAAAAATATTATTCAGTTTAATGTCACCACTGTAACAATGATGTACAGCATGTATAGTATATCACAAACAAAATATAACAGCAAGCACATATTCTACATATAGCACATACCCTGCTGTCTCAGAAGCTGCTGATTCATGTGTTGTATGACATGATCTGTTATAAACATGTTCATCTTCATCATCTGCCAGTGAGTGTTGTTCTGGTCCATCCTGGCATCCATTGCACTCAGCATGTTATACATATACTGATTGTAGCTGGAAGAACTGGAATGACCAAATACATAAGGTAATAAAACCAGAACCACACAAAATTGGACATTTAATGCCTAACTTATCATTTGAAAATTTGCTGAAATTTCTGCCCTGGAGAAAATGTAGTCTACTTCTCTGTATTCAACCTAACAACTTAATGTTTATCCATGCAAGCAATCTTAAAAGACGAGCATCAAAACTGATAGTGATACCAGCACTGAGCTCTCAAAAATGAAAGGAAATGTGTCCTTATTTTTATGGTTTAATCCAAAGAAATATTGGGCTCATTCTAGCATAAAAATCTATGGCAAAACTAGGTCTTCAAAACGCTTCTTTCACTTTTTTGTCATTTCATCATTATTTTTTCTTGGGGGGGGGGGGGGGGGTAGGAGGAGGTAAAAATATCCTTTATTAAGGTATATGACTACACAATTTTATTCATACTCATTCATATATGAATTCATGAGGGTCTTCACTGCAGCATCATATTTCCCAAAAGCTTCCAAGAATCTTGTCCAGTTGACCTTCTGTAAATGTGCCATTGTTTCAGACTGCACAGTGAAGAAGCTCTCTAGATTGCTCTGTAGTTGTTTCCCATTGTTCAGGGTGGTCTGGAGATCAGCTGAACTGGCTGTGCTGTTAAGTGCTGTGTGAAACTAAGAGGACAAATAAATTTAAAAGCATTATTGAAAAATCCACTAGTACTTTTTTCTGCACATATTCAAGATCCCACCACTGCCATACAGTTGCCAAAGTGTTTTCATACATACACTGTAGGTATGATATTACTTACAAAATATATAACGCCATTATATTATTTACAGCTAGTAGTATAAGCAATGTTTCAAACATTAGAGATATTTGTGCATCAGAACAGATTATATCACCTGTGCCATAGCTGTAGCCCAATTCCCACCCATAGCAGCTGTCATATGAGCACTGAGGGCGGCCATGTTGGTGCAGACCTCTGTGTGAATTTGTGACACAGGTACATAAGACGGCAGACTGAAGTACTTCACAAACTCTGTGTAGTTACAGAACAGCCCAATCATGTCTGCATTTAAGCTTAGTTGGGTAAGCTGGAAAATTTTAAGTACATAAAAAATGTCAAATATTAAGAAAAGTTACAGCAACTGCAATATATATATATAGCACTCCTAATTTCACAGTGGCACCAAATTCTTTAAAGCATCTACAACTTCATAACCTGAGTGTAAGATTCAATGAGACAGGTAGTAAATATCCAAGATCAAAACCTTCATCTTTCCAAATGTATAAATAAGTCTGAATGAAATCATAACTTATAATGCACATACCATATGTGCAAATGTACGATGCATTTTGCATACATACATACAAATACACAGTTACAACTGCTTAATCATAAAATAGCAAATGTTCTGCTTGTTCGTCAGTATTGTGACTATGGCACAATGCATCATCGCTAAATTGCCTCTTGTATGAGTATATTCTTTGCATTTTTACAATTTTTATTCATACATTTGTATACTAAATAATCATATATAAATACATATTACTACTAGTACCTTTTGCTCATCCAGCATAGTAACTGCCATAGCTTCAATGTAGTCTGGCCCATACATGATGGTATAATTCATTAACTTGCCAAACATGGAGGAACTGTTGTACATAGCTAGACAGAAAGAAACCCATCAGTTTAACACTGTACACCTTCAATGTTAAGAATTTCATAAATAAATACTGATTTACATCAGATAGTCATGCTGTTATATGAAATTAAACAAATGGGCAATCTCAAAGATAAAGTGCTGCTCATTATATCATATATATACAGTTATCAAAAATAGGTATTCTTTTGTGTAGTAATTTTAAATGCATATAAAAATGAAAATATAAATATCATTACCCTTTCTGTATAAAATTGCACTATTATTACAGTACCTTTCATGCTGTCCAGTTGGTCATTAAAAGTGACAATCATTAAGTTTGCTACATTGACCATGGGTCCAATTGAGCTCCAGCTGCTGTTCTGAATGTGAGAGCTTCCTGCCGTTAACAGGGCTGAGATGCTATAAATATAAAAATCTCATTACAACACAAGTAAATGGCCAAAGAGATTATCAGGCTGAAAAAAACTGATATGTTTCTTGTTGTGAGCAAGAAATGTGGATTGAAATTATATGAAATGGATCCCTTGATATTAGAAAACTTGACAACTTACTGCAATAATGTATGTTTTAACATTCAAAAACTTTCATGAATACTTATATATGCAAAAAATTAAATCTACACCAATCATGTAAAACAGAAAGGTTTCTCATTCCTCATGAATAAATTAAAATACTCTTACTACACCAATAATTTGTCTATATTTTCTGGTAAATAAAAAAATCATGAAATTTTCACATCAAGCAGTTTTTTAAAATAAAAAAAAAGACATCTTTGTACTGAAATTGTAACAGACCTTGTAAAATCCAGTGTCTGGGAAGTCTCCAGAGACCTGACGACGCTTGAGGCTGCCTTGAGCCACAGTGACGCCGCCTGGAGGTCAGACTCCGTAACACTGTTCCAAGGCTGAAGCGAGGCCAACTGGAGCACTGTGTCAATCATTGTGGCAACATCCCTTAGGCCCTTTCCCAGTGTATACTCTCCATACAGATCACTGAACACTGCAGCCTGAATGGAGAATTACATTTTCATATTGCAAAGCTGAATGAAAATATATGTCAACAGTCTCAAATATGTATAAGATAGTAACTAAACTTTACAAAATTTTTGCTATCGAACTATAATGATAGATTAATAAGTTATCAAAAGAAGACCAAATTTAGCATACCTGATCTGTGAATCAGTATACTTGTATAACATCAAGAATGAGTGGTTAATTCTTCTAAAGATACAAACATCTGTTCTTGAAGTAGATTTTATAAAATTGGCTCTCAGCCTTCCAATTTCTGGAAATTATACTTACTATTCTGACAATTTCTGCAACATCAATTTCTGTCTGTAGTTTGTTCACAATGACAGGAATGAGATCATCTTGTATGCCACATAAACTAGAGGACACAGCGGAGACATCTACAGCAGAACTGAAGACAAGATATTTCTTCAACATGTCTGTACCACACACTATGCTCTTGAAGTTGATGCTGCCAGTCAGATTATACAGCTGAAGACCAAAAAATGAAAGGAAACATATTCAATAATTACAGAAAAATAAAAAATTTGAAGCATATAAACAAATCTATGATCCAACATATGTTAGATTCTATTTAATTTTAATTTAAAATTGCAGTCAGATTTCATTTCACATACTTGTTTTTCATAAATCTGAATGTAACACTACTTAGTTTATGTTTTTTTATCATCTCTTTACTAACAATCTCTCATTTGGGAATTATGCATCCATGCACTGACCCATCTTAAAATCCCAAATGTGCCAGCTATAACAGGTAGTACCCAAAAATTTGTACACTGAATGATAGACACCCAATGTATACATACCCCTGTCATGTTTAATGTAGCAGCCAATATGTTATCCACCACATAATCCGGTAGCACTCCTAGCTGTGTCACTAGATAGGATTTCACTTCATCAGGGTTTCGAAACAGCTCTGCCACTGTCCAATTTTTCCCTGGAATAAACATAAACAAAATCGTCTATCAAACATCTCTGAATTACTGATGTCTAAGACTATGGACAGAAACTCAGAGTCCTTTATTTCAAGCGTGAAAACGACAAAGCACATATACTTGTAACTAGCACTGACCGTTATTATGTCCAAGCACTGACCGACCAGCCTTGTTCGACTACAGCTTCAAGCTATCTGCTTCTTATCTGCTTATACAGTAGCCTACAATGCACAACTGTGGTACCCCACCACTTCAGTGCAAATTTTACACCATATCACAAACCTAGAAACTCCTGCACTACTGGTGTCTCCAGCGTTGTGGCCAGGGCTTTGATAAGCGTTGCTGTCTGTGGGAGCCCATTGAGGACACTACGTGTCCGGCTGTCATTTAGCAACGGCTCCATTTCTGCGAACAGCGTGGACAACCTGAAGAACACAACCTCAAATCAACTAATCGCACCTAACACGCTTGGCGCAGCTGCATAATTAGCTGTGATAGGGCTGTACATTTTCGTATCATAACTACATAAAAACTTGTGCAAACTTTTTGTAGGAAAGCTATTTATAACTAATTACCTCCGACAATGAGGTTATATTTTCGTCACCGTTTGTTTGTCTGTGTACAGCATTACACAAAAATTAATGGGCGGATTTTGTTTGGTATTTGTTTATCTATGTCGGTACAAGTACATTTCTTTAAATAGCTAGTCTTTTTATATCGTGCTTAACACTCGACTGTAGCTTTTAGGAATAAAATAATAACCCTGTTATTACGTAACAGAGTCGGGGGGGGGGGGGGGGGCAGGCTCGACACGGCCAGTTAAACGGCCAGTTAAACGGATTAGTTTTTGATTGCTAGGTCCAAACAGATGGAAGCGTGATTTCAAGGGAGCAGGACTAATCTAAGGGTTCGCAATCTTTTAAAAAGATAATAACTCTTCGTTTTGGCAAAAAATGAATTTTCCTGGAGTAATCAATAATTTCCCCATACTTACCAATGGTTAATGAATCCATTTTTACATTCAAAGTTAGTTCCTGGTTTTTTCTAAAAAGTTTGTTTTTTTTTTTTTTTGTTATAATCTCTTAAGAGATTATAACAGAGTATAGCCATCAGTGGAGGTCATGTGGTCTAAAGACAAGCTCAGATGTCAGAATAATAGCTGTAACTGCCGTTTTTGTGGTAAAACAGAATATATTATATTTCTATGAGTTGTTAACAATGTTTTTATTGTGAAATATAGATCTCATATGAAGAGTTATTATCCCTTTAATCTGACTCATGCAGATTGTACTCAACCAGAGTCCCTGTGGTGTTAGTTCGAACTACCTACATGTAGTACAATAGTTTCACTGTGAACGCAACCTAAATGTTTCGATACAGATTATAGTAGTTCATCATGTGAAAAGAGTCTGGGACAAATCTTGTTACATGCAGTGTTAATTTCTTAAAAGAGGTTTATCAACGGAAGGAAAAACAGACCCCCCCAAAAAAAAATCAAGTAGGCGATGGCATGTCTAAGGAAGGCAAGCAAAATGCTTATGCACACATATCGATCAATTAACGTTTGTTTACACGAAACAACTTTAATATGTTTATGGGATTTTATCACGTGCCTACCTAGCTGAAGCAGTGCCCGCGGCTGCCGTGTTATCTGCTGCAGTCTCTTCATTGGCACACGTGTTGTTGATGTTGCAGACAAATGACTGCACAAAACTCAGGCCACCGGAGTTTGGAAGGGAATAAACAGTATAGTTACCTGAAAATAGTAAAGAAGTAAATGATAACATTAGTTTAAAAATGGCACATATTTTGATAATTGTAGCCTACAACAATGAGGGATTCCCCAACTATAAGCAGTAAAAACGCATGCTTTGTTAGCTTTTGGCTAACCTGTGACTGATCAAGTGAAGTTTAATTTTGAAGAAGCTACATCAGTGGAAAATCAACAAATATCTTTGATTCGATTTATTTTCATTTTTTAAATGTATATTCAACTTATAATAACATAAAAATTGATTTGATATCCACTTTCCCTAGCCTCAAGAATTGTAGAGTTGTTCAAATGCTTCGTCTATTTGAATAACGAACCCACTCATATAATTTATGTAAATCCCCTTATGACACCCTTCCACCGGTACCTTTGACATTTCCCGCATCCCCCTTGAACTTTGACATGTTATAAAATTTTATTTTATGTGGCACCCGTTTTACAATAAAAAAGAATCAAAGGATATTTTAAGCACTTCTGGACCCAAAAACTAAAATACATATTCCCTGAAACTTATCATGAATCTGAAAACAGTTATTCGGAAATGTGATGATTATTCTCTAGTGGAATTGTGCCAATGTCGAAAGCCGATTTTCAACATAAAATTTTTTCTTTTTCATTTAATTTTATTTTTCTTTCGTATTTGTTTATATTTTAATCATTTTAATAAGTTCTATTTCTTCATATGTCAATACGCATGTATTTATTTTGAAGGTTTTTGATACTGGTAGATAAGACCCTAATAATAATAATTTGTCATATTATGGTCGCGTTGACACCCTGTGTGAAAATTTCCTGCTATGGCGCATGCAATAACACACACACGAAAAAAAAAACTGTTGAAAACGTTCGACGAGGTGACTCACAATTTGTCTTCTCTTCCGGGGGCACAGAAACTCTCACCACCACCACCGCTGTAAAGATGGCGAGCGGCCATGCCACCTTCACTCCTAGAACAACCTGCAAAGGGAAATGAATTCTGTCCATGATAAGATATAAATAACAAAATGTAAGATGATTATAAATAAAGACTACTCATGATTCTGTACACATAATTATCAATTTGGTTTCGATTATGAAATACTGCATTCCAATTACCAGACATTGTCCCTCCTCCTCCTTCTCTCTCTCTCCGGAATCAAAAGTTAGACACTGAATTTCAGATAAAAGGTTTAAGATTTCCTTTCCTTCTTTATACTTTTGACTTACCGCATATCTAAGCTGCTGTGTTAACCCCTTGAGTAAGAGCAAACCTAACTGGCCCGCTATTCCCATGCGTGTCGCACTCAGTGATTAAAATTGACTGCAGAAAGGAGAAGAGAGACTCATAATTGTTTATAATTTTTTATATTTATCATTCACAATCCATTCGACAACAGTGATAACAATGAAACGTAATTTAACACCAGATAATTAACAGAAAAAGTACAGTCAAAATGTATCTACCCATGCTGCAGATGTACATGTAGTTGACTTTCACTGTCGGGAAAACGCAATGAAAGATATCCCTTCGCCTGTGATTTTGAAATTTAATTTCTTACTTTTTTCTGAACAGTTGAAAAATTATCAGTTTCATGTTTTTTTTCACTATTATTTTGTGGAAAGTTACCCATATTTTGTAGCACTTGACTTCAACAATTTAGCTTAATTATTGAGGACGAAAACAAGCTAACTGGCAAGAGATACACACGAGAATAACGAGAGAATGCGAATATATAAAGTTGCAGATATTATGGTACAATAATTTTTGTCAGATTTTGTATCAGAATATCCTTACATTGGCAAGTATGTTATTTACAATTAGTTAATCAGTTTGGAAATCACTTTGTTGTAAATGTTGGTATTATCTTTGTGCTGTGGATGGCCTGGTGTGTATGCCCAAGACTTGTTATATCCCCTTCACGGAATAACTCGTAAATTGCACTTTTACGGACAGTAAAAAGGCAAATAAGGTATGTTTATATTACAGTTGACCTACGGCAGCAAGATGGTTTTATATAAATGTAAGAATTTCTTTGGTTTTGAATTCGAATCTGATGGTCAGTAACTCGGTTTATAAGAGAAAATTTTCGATAGTTCGTGATTTTTTTCTTTTTATTGACACAATCTACAAACAACCGCGTTGTTATTAAATTATAAATATATTAGATTTAATCAAGAAAAATTAATGCAATGATACAGATACTTAACACATTTGCACATGCATTGATGTAGTTTGTTTAAGGTGAATATTTTCTGCTGATATTCTTTCCTTTGGTCAATGCTTGTTCACGATCAACATACGCCAAAGCACGCTGCTATAAAGTTGGATGAATCTCAAAATCCTTATTTTGCTGCGTTCAAAATGGGACTTGAGGCATATCATTTGCGAGTTTAATCGGTGGTGCATAGCACATAGTTTTTTGAAAAAAAAAAGATGTTCAGAAAAAGGAATTGTTCAATGAAATTCTGTCAATCCTGGATATTCCTATATCATTTTCGCCCGGCAAACTTATATTGCTCTAAGGTTCCACACAAAATAAAAGTGAATATTATTTAACTTGAATAGTTTTAACACATTACGTTTCTAATATGAGAATTTTTCAAGATTCATCGTTATATTTTCATTTGTTTTAGTATGTCAGTGGCGTTTTCACCAAAATGCCAAATAATTTTGAAATATACAAAACAAAACCTTTGTATACACATGCAAATATCGTGGCGATTTGATTGAGAACATCAGGGATAGGATCTAAGACGACCTGGAGCGTTTCTAAAATTGTTTGAAGCGTATGCTGTTTCAATCATACTAACGACTGGATCGGAAAGAAATATACAATATTCAAAAGAAAAATCTTTATATAATACCCCGTAGGGAGTACGTCAGCGTTCGCAGAGAGAAATACATGTACAAAGCGGGCATTTAACGCTCAAAGCTGCAAATTTCAGGTCGCCCAGGTCATTGCGCAACCGGAATTTCGCAATATCTGTGAAATAAAAGCTACGCCAGACAGTGGTGTATAATAAGATCACGGGTATTTATTTCGATATCGTTACTGAAATATAGCATAAAACCATGTACGCGAGGAAGTCCGCATCAAAAATAGCACTAATTTGGTAAAAAAAAAATGAAATCAAAAAATGAATAAATGAATAAATGATGTAAAATACGGGGTCATATATGTTTGCACCCTGAAGCTTATAACTATGTTGCAATGCCACGGAGTTCTAATTTACATTTTCAGTCAGTCAGCTACCTATTTTAAAGCAGCAGAAAGAAAAAAAAGACGTGCGACGTATGTAATCTGAAACATGAGAAGAGGGTCCCCTCCGACTACGGGGCTCTCTGTAGTCTGTTAC